AGTGGCAGGCAGAGGGAGAGGGAGAAGCCGGCTCCCCGCCAAGGAAGGAGCCCGACATGGGGCTCGATCCCAGGTCCCTGGGACCATGACCTGAGCCGAAGGCAGACGCTTAACTGACTGAGCCACCCAGGCGCCCCACAATGTATCCCATTTTGCTTTATTTCCCACTATTGCACACATGCTTTCCATTTACTGCCCATACACACGGCCTGCTCATTTCAACCCATGGGACAGATTTATCTCTGTTCCCAAAGCATGGTATGAGGAGTCAGAATAGGGGTCCAGTAAATGTGAGCCAGCAGTTGGCATTTGTCTCCCTTTTGATGCCCTCCCTTTTTATATTTAATCTCACAAACCATTCAGTATCATATTCTGCTTACAGACTTCCTGAGTTTCTCTAGCTCTTATGGCCTCCATATTTATTAGGTAGAGAACAAACAAACAAACAAAAACAGAAACAAAAAGAGTATAAAAGGGAGGGAGGGAGGGAGGAAGAGAGGAATGAAAGGAGGAAAGGGGGGAAGAAAAGTTCCCCACCACAGAGAATTGGTTTTAGGAGTTACAAAAGCAAAGGGAAGAGAAGGAAAGGCTAGTAGTCTGATAACTTCCACTTTGAAGCTATTCAGGAAACAGTTCAATTAGGAATATTCATTGGCTTTCTACAGTACCATATCATCAGTATCATTCTGTTCAGAACACATATACTATCAGTGTTCCTTGCTAAGTGTTTCAGATGCATTCATTCTGCTTCCCCCATGTTGGTTCAGGATTCATTTCTTCCTGCTTCCCTGATGGCCCATATTGAGCTGAATGCCCCCTTCTCCATGCTCCCACGAGAACCTGGTGTTTCCTTTTAACTCAATATCTTATATTGAAAGTGTTTGTGAGTCTGACTCACCCTTAGACTATGAATTTCATGAGACAGGCTTACTTGTCTTTGTATTATCTCTATAGACTCTGTACATGTAGATGCTACAGAAATGGCCCCTGAAGTAACTAGGCTGTAAGCTTCAGAGGGTAGGAAACAAGGGTTTTACACCTCTTGTTCTTATATTATGAATAACAAGCTCAGTGTTTAGGTGTTAAGAAAAAGCTTGTTAATGTTAACATTTCTGTGCTCTGCTCTTCTCACCACCCACTCATAACCTTACCCTTGCCCATCAAACCCCAGTTACTGAGCATTTAGTAAATGCTCAACAGACTCTTAACAGGTTAATACTGATGGCCACTGTGAGAGAAAAACAATGAACAAATTCTTTAATTATACTTCTGTTTAGAAATTTGTGCATAGTCTAATTGTCAATAAGAACTTCTGCCACATTTTCATACTTTCAGAGAATAGGCTTTAGAGTCAGGCAGAATTAGATTTGCCTGGCTCCAAAGCTTATTAGACTCATGGCTCTGCAAATGCACTAGTTATTTGACCTTTGGTAGGGCCTTTTAGAGCCTTAAATTAAAAATGGAAATGACAGGGTGCCTGGGTGGTTTAGTGGTTAATGACTACCTTTGGCTCAGGTCACGATCCCAGAACTGACAGAATCTGTCTAAGTAACTATGTAGGAATTCTAAACTCTACTGAAGGCTTAGGACTTCCAGGGGAAAGCTCGCACAGTAAGTTGTGCTTAATTTTGGCTCTTAGCACAGTAGCAGTTACCTGTGGCAGACAGCAGTGCACATGTTCCTGGAGGAGCTTGCACTTAGTTTGCTGAACCAGGGTGGGCAAAAAAGAACCCTGTCCTCCAAATATCAGGATCTGTGCTCTGATTGCTGATTCCTGCTTCTGGTCACAGAGGTACAGACAAAAAGGTGGGTGGTCAATGTTGTTGCACTTCCTCACGTTGTTGCAACCCCCTAGCTCTATAGTCAAAGTGACTTTCAGTAGATTTAAAGGGCCAGCACCCATTCCCCCTTTCAATTCTCTTTTTTTCCCTTTTTGGAAGTCAGACATTATGGAAGTCATACTAGGACATTCAAAAACAACCACATATACAACCACATATGCAAATTAAGAAGTGACCATAGAAAGGCTTAGGAAAGACCTAAGAAGACCTTAAGTTTATGCCTCAGGCTGATCCTGGGCAAAGAAACAGCCTACCACAATCAATAGAACAAAATAAAAAATAACAAAAACAGCAAACCTTGGAAAAGGAAGAGAATGTGAATTCCAGAGATAGCAAATTATTAGATTCAAATGTCCAGTTTCAAAAAAAAAAATCACAAAGCATATAAAGAAATAAGAAAATATGGCCATTCAAAGGAAAAAAAAATAAATCAACAGAAACTGTCCCTGAAAAAGACCTGATGTCAGATATACCAGCCAACTTTAAAACAACCATCTTGGGCACCTGGGTGGCTCAGTTGGTTAAGCAACTGCCTTCGGCTCAGGTCATGGTCCCAGGGTCCTGGGATCAAGTCTCACATCAGGCTCCCCTGCTCTGTGGGAAACCTGCTTCTCCCTCTCCCTCTGCCTGCCACTTCCCCTGCTTGTGTGCTCTCTCTCTCTGTGTCAAATAAAAATAAATAAATAAATAAATAAATAAATAAATAAATAAAAATATTTAAAAAATAAAACAACCATCTTCAAGATGCTTGAAGAACTAAAGGAATATGTGGAGAAAGTCAGGAAAACAATGTGTGAACAAAATGGCAATGTCCACAAAGAGTTGGAAAACCTAAGAAGAAATCAAAAAGAAATTCTGGAGCTGAAAAATACAATAATAGTAAAGAAAAATTCACTAGAGGAATTCAAAGGCAGAAGAAAGAATCAGTGGGGACGCCTGGGTGGCTCAGTCAGTTAAGCGTCTGCCTTCGGCTCAGGTCATGATCCCAGGGTCCTGGGATCGAGTCCCGCATCGGGCTCCCTGCTCTGCAGGGAGCTGCTTCTCCCTCTGCCTATGCATCTCTCTCTCTGTCTCTCATGAGTGGATAAATAAAATCTTTAAAAAAAAAAAAAGAATCAGTGAACTTGAAGATAAGATGGTGGAAATTATCTGAGGAACAGAAAGAAAAATGATGGAAGAAAAGTGAACAGAACTTAAGGGACCTGTGGGACACCACGGAGTTGACCAACATATGCATTTTAAGAGAAGGGGCATGAGAAAGAGAGAGGGGTTGGGTTGGAGAAGGAATTGGGTGGGGGGAATATTTGAAGAAATAATGGCTGGAAACTTCCCAAATTTGATAAAGGGCATGGATATAAATGAGAAGTCCAACAAATACAATGAATTAAGATGAACTCAGAGACCCACACCAAAACACATTTATAATCACTTTCAAAAGACAAAGACAAAGGCAGAATCTTGAAATTAGCAAGAGAGAAGCTACTCATTATATACAGGGATCCTCAATAAGATAATTAGCATCTTTCTCATCACAAACTTTAAAGGCCAGAAAGCAGTGGGCAGATATATTTGAAGTACAAAAAGAAAAAAACCTGTCAACTGAGAATCCTATTTTTGGTGAAATCATCCTTCAAAAGTGAGGTGGAAATAAATTCCCAGATAGACAGACCTAATTCCTAGATAGATAAAAGCTGAGGAAGTTTGTTACTACTAGACCTTACCCTGCAAGAAATGCTTAAGAGAGGTTGGGGCGCCTGGGTGGCTCAGTT